GCGGTAAGTAAACTGACGCATGTCAAAAAGGGAAGAAGACCTGTGGGCCTGAAGGTCCAGGCTCTTAAGAAGGGCAGACGAAACAACTACCCAAAAATTCAGACACACAATAAACCCCTCTCGGTGAACACCACTAGGGAATTGCATTTCCACTACCTTTAAACTGACACATATGCTAAGGCTGACCAATCAGCATTAAAACACACTTGTTGCACTCCCTCTCCGCCCACGTCTCGAATGGAATGCAGAAGGCCTGAGCGACTGCTGATCTTGTCGACTTCGTCAAGGAAGACAATACCCTGCTGGGCGCGTTCAACGCTGAAGTTGGCATTCTGCAGCAACTTGGCGATCACAGACTCAATGTCCTCTCCAACGTACCCAGCCTGTGTAAGGGTAGTACAGTCGCAGATGGCAAATGGCACATCCAGACACTGTGCCAGCGTCTGTGCAAGCAGTGTTTTCCCTGAAAATAAAGGAAGAGGAAGAAGAAGAAATCGGTTTGCGTTTTGATGTAACTATATTCCGGAAAAGTGATGGTTATCGAAGGGCAAGAAATCATTCCTAAATGTGTTTGGCAATCCTACCAATCAGTATGAACTAGGCATTCCTCGGACTATATTCGAGGATAGATGGGCGCAGACCAAGATCAGAACTCATAGTTTATGGAAAATTAGCCTTATGAGTCGCTTGCCTTACTGTCTATTCTCAGAGCCACCATATTCAACATACAGTATATTTACTACCACGCTAGACGTGAATCGAAATTGTGAAATGTGCTTTTAATTAGAAAGGATTACTTGAGTCAAATCGTAATATTAATTTCTGTCTAGTGTAATTCCGTGCATATCCCATCTTCGACTAAATTTATACTTAAAGGAAAGGTAGATTGCGATGTAAAAAAAGAGTCTTCCATTGCTAAACAGTCTTGAACCAGACCTGCAATTGCAAGTCTGTTTAAGATCCCCAACCAAATGCCAGTAAGATAGGCTTCTTTGCCGACAATTCGACCAAGATTTGAGTACCTTCTCAACTTCGATATTCAACCCAACGCGTCTTCGATCTCCCTTGCAGCGGTTTTATCCTTCCTCAACCTATGCGATATCATGGAGGCGCCCTTGTTAATAAGTCACTGATGCCATACCAAGGCTACGCAACAAGGTACACGGAGATGAAAGCTCCCCCACATGGAAATCGACAAGTCTTGTATTGACACTATGGCGACACAGATCCAGGAAGTGATTGAACAAGCGTGGAGAAACGAAGCTGTTTGCAATGACAGGAGTTCAGGCATCTTTACCCCTTTTCTCAAGAAGAAAGAGAAGACGAGATGCAAGAACTACCGCGACATAATGCGTATCCACTTTGCTGGAAAGGTCTTCGTTATTGTCGTTCTCAGGTGATCTCAGACTGTGTGTGCCTCTAGGATGAGGCCCAAACAATTCGGATTCAATTCTGGGCATGGATGTGCGGACCAGTTATGCACACTGAGGCACATTCTTGAATTCCGCTATAGTTACCAACAACCGATAGCAGTCAGGTTTGTTAACTTTGCAGCTGCCTTTGATTCCGTCCATCTTGAGTCCCTGTGGCGGATAATGGTACTAGATGATATACCGGGAAAAATCATCGCCATGATCAGGATCTACTATCGCTTCAAAACTGCGCGACTTCCGATGCAAAATAGTCGCTCAAAACCGTTCGGTATTCGGTCTGGCGTTGTAACAAGGTAGCGTACCGAAGCCTATTCTGTCCAACAACAACATTCAGTGGATTCTCGGAAGGACCCTACACGGTTTTTATGATGTGAAGTTAACATCTGGATGGGTAAAATAAGCCACTACTCCGTGCAATTTATCCATAGCACTGAGTAGACCAAAGCGTTTTCCAGTTGCATTCCTGACCAGGAGAAAACACCTCTCGAGATTGATGGTTGCCAGCTGGAAGAAGTAGACAACTTAAAATACCTGGGGACGAGGCTGCTGCCGAGTAGACAGGGTAAGGATGACACTGTCTCCCAAATAGATACTACTCGTCGGATTTTCTCAAACCCTAGAAAGTGTCTATGAATTCGACACGAAATCACCATCATCAAGAAGATTTTTATACCGCACATCCATCCAGTCAGTCCTCCCTTGTGAATGCGGGGTTGTACGTGCAGATGATGAGATAAAACTGGACGTAGTTGACCAACACAAATCGAGAGCAATTCGCCGAATTCGTCTCGTTGCGCAAACATCGTATTGGCACGTTCTTCGTCGTACACCTCATCAGCTCAGCGTTGTTGCCCTCGACCCTACACCGTTACCCAGTCCGAGAGGAAACTAAATCAAATCCTGATTCGAGGTCCTTCAAAGCAAGAACTTAGTTCTTGGACTTTCTGTATTCGGTCCCCGCCGCTGGCGAAGAGAATTGTCCAGATCTGCTGCCGTGGATTGTCAAAAGTGAAGAGATAGAATCCGTGACATCATTAAGGCCGGTTAAATCAGGCATTTCCGCAGACGTGCCAAAGTAGAATAAGTAAGTAAACGAGCAAGCAAGACTCTTTGCCTGTATTTCAAACAAACCAAGTGCACATCAAAAGTGTCGCAGGTGTGCCCCCTGTTTTATTAAGTTCTTCCGATTCCTCCACAGTACTCATATCTTTCTTGAAGATGTAGTTAACCACTTATGCTTATGTTTCAGAATTTCTGGTCTGTACTAAGGACGCAGGATCTCCACAGCAGGGAAAAGTACCAGCGGTCAAAGCTATCAAGCTAGTAAGAAAAGTCTAATGCTGGGTAAACTGCGTAAGCAGGACTCAAACAGTGGAGCGGTAACTATGTGGCAG